AGGAGGTCGAGGACGGCAGTGCGGAGCTAATGGCCTTGTCGGAGAGGCAAGGGGGTGGCTCTGGTGACGACTACGGCGAACGGGGGCGAGGATCGCGCTCGACCATCGCGGGAGAGGGTGAGGGAGACGAGGGGGAGAGTGAGGGAGGGAGAGAGGGGAACGTGGGGGTCGGCGTGGCACCCCTAGATGCCTCTAGGGCGTCGGCAGAAGCAGGAGGTGGCCGGCGTGTGGCCGCGGGCGCCGGCCACGCGCTCCTTGTCCTCCTGGCGGGAGGAGGAGGACGACTGGCAAGGCCAATCGGCTGGGCCGAGCCAGGTGGGCTGGCCAGCACAGGTGAGGCCCAGGTGGGTTTCCCTCTCTCTCTTTTTCTTATTTGTTTCTGATTTCTATTTTTTTCTGCAACTGTTGGGCTTTATTAAAAATACTAAAACGTTTCCAAAAATCCTGAAAATAATTGTGGGCTCTTTTTAGAATATTTCCAACAGCAAACATTTATTTCCAGAATTGTTTGAGCATTTAAATTATTTATAGCATTTAAATACCCAAAATCAAATACTTATGATTTAATTCAATGACCTTCTGTTGACCTAGAAAATTGTGCACCAATTTTGCCAGAGGTTCCAACCCAAGACAAAGAGAGTGAACTTTTTTTAGAAGGGCATTTCAGGTTCATTGAAAATAATTTTAGTAAACCCTAGTTGTTTCCAGGGGGGTGTTGGGGGTTCTGTCATCCCCATTTCAAACTTAAAATGATATTAAACATGATGCACACTCTAATGCTTGAACTAGCTAGGGTGTGACAACTACATCAAAGATGACCCCTCCTTCTTGCCAGAGCAACCAGGCAAGCCCCCCCCCCTTGATCATCAGATATCGCCTATTCTTCTCTACTGCTTGCATTAGAGTAGTGTAGCATGCTACTGCTTTCCGTTAATCCTATTCTGTTGCATAGCCTGTCATTATTGCTACAATTGTTGATACCTTACCTGCAATCCTAAATGTTTAGTATAGGATGCTAGATTATCATCAGTGGCCCTACATTCTTGTCAGTCTGCCATGCTATACTATCGGGCCATGATCACATCGGGTGTTGATCACGGGTATTTACTATACATACATACTATACATGTTGTGACTAAAGTCGGGTCAGCTCGTAGAGTACCCGCAAGTGATTCCGATGTGGGGGCTGGAGGGGCAGGTGGTTCCACCCAGGTAGTGGTGGGCCTAGGTTCCTGACGGCCCCCGACTGTTACTTTGAGGCGGAGCGACAGGGCAGGCGGAGACCACCTAGGTGAGAGGTGGGCCTGGCCCTGGTCGGTGTTCGCGGTTACTTCAAAATAACACGCTTAACTAGATCTGAGTATTTGATCTGAGTCTGGCTACTGGCCTATATGCACTAACCAACTACGTGGGAACAGTTATGGGCACTCGACGTCGTGGTATCAGCCGAAGCCTTCGTGACGTCAGCGACTGAGTGGCGCGCGCCGGGTTGGACTGGAACGCCTGCTCTTGTATAAGGGACGCTAGGTCTGCTCACCGGCCGCGTACGCAACATGCAGGTGTGCAATGGGCGATGGGCCTAGACCCCTGCGCCATAGGATTTAGACCGGCGTGCTGACCTCTCTGTTGTGCCTAGGTAGGGCTGCGACGTGTTGATCTTCCGAGGTCGGGCATGACCCAGAAAAGTGTGTCTGGACAAAGGGGATTGAGCGTGTTGGGAAATGTGGTGCACCCCTGCAGGGAAGTTGATCTATTCGAATAGCCGTGTCCCTCGCTAAAAGGACGACCCGGAGTTGTACCTTGACCTTATGACAACTAGAACCGTATACTTAATAAAACACACCCTTCCAAGTGCCAGATACAACCGGTGATCGCTCTCTCACAGGGCGACGAGGGGAGGATCACCGGGTAGGATTATGCTATGCAATGATACTTGGTGAACTTACCATCTATTCTCTTCTACATGCTGCAAGATGGAGGCTGCTAGAAGCGTGGTCTTCGATAGGACTAGCTATCCCCCTCTTATTCTGGCATTCTGTAGTTCAGTCCACATATGTTACCCCTTTTCCATTTGATACCAGTGCATACATATGTAGTGTAGCTCCTTGCTTACGAGTACTTTGGATGAGTACTCACGGTTGCTTTACTCCCCCCTTTCCCCTTTCTATATCCGATTGTTGCGACCAAACATTGGAGTCCAGGAGCCAGACGCCACTGTCGATGACGACTGCTACTACTCGGGAGGCGCCTCCTACTACATGCAGGCCGCTGACGACGACCAGGAGTAGTTTAGGAGGATCCCGGGCAGGAGGCCTACGCCTCTTTCGATCTGTATCCCAGTTTGTGCTAGCCTTCTTAAGGCAAACTTGTTTACTTATGTCTGTACTCAGATATTGTTGCTTCCGCTGACTCGTCTATGATCGAGCTCTTGTATTCGAGCCCTCGAGGCCCCTGGCTTGTAATATGATGCTTGTATGACTTATTTCTATTTGTAGAGTTATGTTGTGATATCTTCCCGTGAGTCCCTGATCTTGATCGTACACGTTTGTGTGTGTGATTAGTGTACGATTGAATCAGGGGCGTCACATGCCCGGGCGCGCCCAGGCACGCCCCCACGTCGGACCAGACAGCCCGACCCCACCCCAAATTGCCCCAAATCCACCCCGAAGACCAGCCAAATCCATTTGCTCTCTCCTCTCTTCTTCCTCCTCCGCGTCGTCCGTCTCGTGCTCCGCTGTCGTGCTCGCTCTGTAGCCGTTGCCAGGCTCTCCACCACGAGCTCCGGAAGAGCGCTCCCGTCATCGCCGACCCGGACGCCACCGTGGTACGTCCGACAATTCTCCTATTCCGCCTTGCGCTTGATGTGTTCGACACATTGACCGACCGGAATAATTGTGATTTTGTTAGGTAAATGATGGATTCCGATGCTTCGTCGGACGAGGAATATTTACCAATGGAGCTTGACCAAATGATTCAAGACGAGTTCTTCGATTAGTCAGATTCGGACGAAGAAGTGGACATGATCATGCTCATGAGCATGCAAAAGGAAATGGACCGGCAAGTGGAGCATATTCTCAACTTCAAGGGCTCAGTCAAAGGGAGAAGAGTGATCAACCGAAACAGGGTGTCCGGAGCATAGCTACTGCACAATGACTACTTTGCTCCCACACATGCTTTCTCAAAAGATCCATGGTTTCGTCGCTGTTCTCAAAAGAGTAGCCGTGCACAACAGAGTGGAGGCACATGACGACTACTTCAAGCTGAGTAGGGATTGCTGCGGCCAACACTCTTTCTCGGCCAAGCAGAAGTGCACGGCTACTCTCAGGATGCTTGCACTTGGTATTGCTGCAGACGTCGTTGGTGAGATGGTCAAGATGGGGGAGAGCACGTGTTTGAAGACTACTGCCAAATTTGCTTGCGCCGTGGTTGAGGTGTTTGGACCGGAGTATCTCAAAGAGCCATATGCGCAACACACAGAGCTGTTGTTGGCTATTGGAGAGGCAAGGTGGTTTCCTGGAATGCTCGGATCAATTGATTGCATGCATGAAAAAACTTCCCTAAAGGTCCGCGGGGAATGTATCAAGGTCACGCCAGAGAGGTCACCATCATACTAGAAGCGGTGGCATCACATGACTTATGAATTTGGCATGCTTTCTTTGGAATGCCCAGTTCTCACAACGACATCAACGTGCTTCAACAATCTTCGATGTTCAGGAGGCTTTGCAATGGGGATTTACCGCCGTGCAACTACAGGACTACAGCATGGGGTACTATCTTGCCGATGGTATCTATCCTCAGTAGGTGGCGTTTGTGAAGACCATATTCGAGCCGCGTGGCAATAAACATAGCCACTTTGTAACAATGCAGGAAGTGGCTAGGAAGGACGTGGAGAGAGCACTTGGTGTGCTTCAAGCTCGTTGGGGAATTGTGTAGGGCGCTGCAATGATGTGGGAATCAGAAACTTTATGGCAGCTGATGACATGTTGTGTTATTCTGCATAATATGATTGTCGAAGATGGGGGTAATGGTGTAGCCCAAACCCATGATTTTGAAGCACCCAGAAAACAAGTTGAAATCCCGAAAGATCAAGATGCGGCTCTTCGAAATCAGCAGGTGCACACTCATCTACTCAATGATCTTGTGCAGCACATGTGGATCCACAATGGCAACCAAGGAGGCAATGCTTGAGTTTGTCACTTCAAATAAATTTTATGTAAACACTATGTATGCTTGATATCAACAATTGCTGTTTACGTGCGACATTGTGTTACATAATCGACGTGCATGTATTTGCATGAATTTGAGAGTCCAGATTTCAAATATATAGATACACAAAAGGAAATATGAGGACCCGTCCGGGTGCATCCACGGGCGTGCCCGGACGCGACCGCGGGGATTTGAGAGGCCGGATTTGACAAGTCCAGTTGTAGATGCTCTAAGGTCACATAGGAACAGCTTACTAGAATAACAATAACCACCAAAAAAGAAAAATGTAGGTCAAAAGAAACCAACCTACAGGCACACGACCACAGATTTGTTGCGACCGCCCCAGGAAAAGGAAGGTTGTTTTCATACCACTATATCCACGAGGCTGCATAGCGACAGGAGTTTTTCTTATTTGACACCATACACATAAGATTCCAAAGCAAAAATAAATAAAAGACACCACAAACTGACAGAGGTCATTTGTCCCACGACGACCTTTGTCTATATCATCCATTTTTCTATTTCGTCAATATTTCGGCGTATGTGGACCCGAGCTGTCAGTGGCATCCCAAATTAGGCGGGCGCCTGACCCCGCCCACTGCTCACGCAAGGCGACCCCCCATCGGCGTCTTCGAAGCCTCCGAAAGCCTCATTTAAAGCCCACGAAACCGCATCCTTCTTCCTCATCGATCCTATCCCTCCCCTCCCCGGCTCCCCCTGGCCATACGCCCATACCCAAGAAACACAGCACTTCCCATCTCAACTCCACTCCACTCCGGTCCGGTCCGGCCGCTATGGCCACTCCAAGATTTCTCGCCGTCATCCTCGTCGCGGCTCTCCTCGCGCTTTCCTTCTCGCAAGGTACGCATGAACTGGAATATCAATGCCCACCCGCTTGTTTGTTCTTTTCGATGCCAATCAGGTAGCAAAGATTAATTAATGCTTGCTCTGCCGTGGACGGATGGGTGCAGGGGCGGCGGTGGTGGTGGAGGGCAGGAAGGTGCAGGTGATGAGGGCGGTGGGGCGGTGGCGCTCGCCCCTCCGCGGCGTCCGGTTGCAGGAGCAGCAGGAGGGCGGCGGGATGGTGTCGACGGTGATGGACTACTCGGAACCCAAGGCCAACACCAACCCCCGCGGCAGCGTGCCCGCCGCGCCGGAGGACCCCACCTCGCCGCCGTGGCACTGATCGATCGACGCATTTGCGTGTAGAGGACGAAAACGCCAGGAGGGATCCGAACGAACGGCTCTTCTCCCCCCTGTCTTCCGGCGGTAAATCTTTGATGAGTTGGTTGATCTGGAGAATTGTATTTAGTGCTTATGTTTTGAGTTTTTATCCCTCGATCTGTACGTTTCCCCCCTGCATGCTGCCATCTGTACAACCCATCTATGTGTGCTCTGCAATAAGATCATCAACATTGTGCCATTGATGCATATATGGTGGATGCCCTTCCATGAATTTCTTGCCCAGTGTGCATGGCAGTTCAGTTTGATGAGAGGAGTACTATGCGGGTAACCTTGGTACCGGAGCTAATTATTAAGCAGGAACTAACGAAGAAATGGCAAATTGATTGTGAGAATCATGCCTCTGTCTCCTCCGAGCAGACAGCCGAGTGATCATTAGGCTAGGCCACAGCTGCTGCAACATGCAGCAGAGTAGAGGCATCTTCGACTCTCTTGGTATACTGCAAACCAGACACAAGTTCGGTTGGTTTTACGAGAGAATAAAAGGTCTGGCAGTTTTGGCTTCATGAGGTACACTGATACCACAAATGGTTTCTTTTTAGCGAATTACCACAAATGATGTTTGATCTGTGGCCTAGGCCTAATGTTAGTTGGTGTCAACTTGCTAACATTTGCTCTATGTAGTTACTATATATGATCGATGCTTCATACCCTGCCAAAAAAAAAAGATCGATGCTTCATGCTTGCAAATGTGGTTGCCACTTGCGACGCCATTGCTTTCCCGGCACAACAACAGGGCATGGGCTTTGCCAAAATAAAAATCAGGGCATGGGCTTTGCCAAAAAATATATGTCAGTGCATGGGCAGCGTCTGCGGTCAACGCATTGATCAAGGTGCACATATACGTGAGCTGGTAGTTCTTGAGTTACGTACAGATCGGCAACTTGTTTTTGCTTAGTCCCTTAGTTGCTTAGTCCTTAACATAGCACGAAGCTCCATCGAACCTCGCTGCATCAGCGGCTTGCAGCAAACTCAAACTCAGGTGGATATGTGGACGCTTTCGATGGTTGGCACATGTCAACCTCGTGATCCAACGAGAAGAGGGTTGGCATGCTTTGGACTTTGCATGCATCGCCAAACGAAAGGGATGGCAGGAAATAAACTTTGCGAACCCATTAAAGTAGTCGCTGCATCGCTCCAAAAGAGGCGTAGTAGATGAGAAGGTAGGGTTGCAAATGTTTGGCACATGTGCACCACCATCATTTGATTCGGGTCAGGGATGAGCTTGGGCTTAAACTATGGGATGGATGCTCGTGAGTCCACCGTAGTGGACCCGCGCTTGTGTTGCCTGTACTAGCTGGTAAAAAAATAAATCGTGTGCACGTCCAAGTTGACTGATGTATTCACGGAGCCACAAGATCGATGAATCACAAGACTCCTAGGCAGTGGCAGAGGCAGGAATGCATATAATTGGACGTTGGGAAGGGCCGGCTGCAGGTAACAGTAAAAAAATGTCACTGTTCATAGGCATATTATCAAAGAAATTAAGATGTTGGGGAGGGCCCGGGCCTGGATGGGCCCCTTGTGCCTCCGCCACTCCTCTTAGGTGGGAGCCTCAGGTCATCTATAGAGGAAATTTGATCCTTCAAATGTCCGCGGCCGCATGTAGAAGACAGGGGAAAGAGCATTGCCCTTGCTTCCGCAAAAACCTAAAACCCACGGCGCTGGTTAGGGTTTCAAGCAAAACTTGCTCGCCGGATCTTTACGGTGGGGTGCCCTTGGATTCCGTGGGAGGATGGCCACATCGTCCAGCGGCACGCAGCAGGAGTCGGACCAAAGTCCTGTGGCAACATCATCCAAGCAAAGAGAAGTATTCAGGTGCAGCCTTCGACTCCAAAGTCCTATAGAACGGTTTCTCCGGCAAGCAGAAAAAGGAGCTCTCCAGCATTGCAGCGGCCTCGGTTACCCGGCGAGCCAGCCGGATACAGGTTTGCTTCCCGACAAGCTCTCCGGAGCCAATACCATCACCATCGCCAGACCATCCTCGCCTGTCCAGGCTGGCCAACGCCGTCTCCCGGCAAATCCGCCGCAAGCAATGGCGACAATGCGTCCGGCAAGCGGAGAAAGAAGCCATGTTCGCGGAGGTTGAGGCGGCGGAGGAGGACTTGAGAGGGGCACCGACGACGATGTTGCCAACTCTGTGTCGGCCACGCCCGCCGTCGCCGATAGCGAGGAAAAGTAGACCATGGGAGGCCGACGTCGCTAGCTCGGGTCCCACGAAGGCCATCGCACTACCTCGCCTGGTTACACAACTAGTGACTTGCCCGCTTCGCGAGGGCGTAGGACACGGTGACTGTCTTCCCCCGCCCCCAACACCGACCTTTATCCATGCTTCGCGGAAGCGAAGGCTACTCCTCCCCTTCCGCTAAAGCATATCCTTCCAGGGCTCACGACATTTTTCAAAAGTGAGTAGCATTTCCACTAAAAAAGGATGGTTATTATATGGTCATATATTATGAAAAATGGCAAGGAAAACTTTATCATTTGTCACGTGTGATCATATTGGGTTCATTTCTTTTAAGAACTTGCATTGTCTTGCCCTTCACGCCACTAAACTTGTTTCATTTTACCCGGGCGGCAGGCCGGTAAGCAATCTCATACCTTGAAATTGATATGACTTGTTTCATTTACGACGCGTGCTTGTTTATTTGACATTCTGGGCTCCTATACGGCACCTGAGGTGTCGGTTGAACTTCTTGGCGCCCACACACATGATAAATTGGGCCAGGCCATTAAAAAAGGTGCAACCCTGGCTCGACCCCTCTCGGTTGCTGGCTGGTTTGCTCGATTTCTTCGCGGGCTCATTAGTTTGTGGGAAGGTTGACCCTTGAGAATTGAACGTTTGACCTGTTGACCACTGATGTTTCGAAGATTTTAAAATTTTCAAGAATTTGAAAAAAGTTCATCCATTTAAAAAAATTCTAAATTTAAAAGAAGTTCGTCGATTTGAGAAAAAGGTCGAAAAATATTCATCAATTTGAAAACAATTCAACAAATTTGAAAAAAAAATCACAAAAATGAAATAGTTCGTCGATTTGAAAAAATATCTCATTGAAAAAAGGAAAAGAATAGAAAAGAGAAAAAAACTGGTCCAGAAAAAAACCAAACGCAAAAAACACCTAGGAAGCTCCCCAAAACCAGTGATTGAACTGCGTCGTATACCTCTCAAATGGGCCGGCCAATGCTGCATCGATGGAGGTAGGGGTGTGTGCTAGTTTGCGCCATATAAGATTTGCCTTCGCCGAGTGCTTTTTTAGAGATAGCAGAGACAAAAAAGGTAACCCCTCGTTGAAACGTGTAGCATAAAATAGCCGCTAGAACATGCCATTGCACTGGCCCATTCGGGTTTCAACTTTTCATTTGTTTTTCTTTTCATCTTTGTATTCACTTTTCTTTTGTTTTTTGGGGGTGGAGATACGACAAGGTTTTTCTAAAATTGTACTGCATATGAACATAAATCTAGTTGTGCATGGATATTTAAAAAACATAAAAAAATTCTTTTGTAAATTCGAGCTTTTCCCTAGCTACGCAAACATTATTTTGAAATACATTAGCTCTTTTAACAGATGATTTTTTTAGCATGAGACGAACATTGCTTTGAATATATAAAAACTTTCTATTTTCGTGATGTATATTTTCAAAATCACCCGCAAAAAGAATGTATATTTTCAAAATAGAATAAAAATTCTATTTAGTAAAACCATTTTTTGGTAGGGAAAAGGTGAAGATATTGTGCTGGCCCATATAATTGTGGCAGTCAGACTAATAGCACCGTTTCGGCCAGACCGTTTGGGCGTGGAGGGTCCAGGCCTTCTGTGACCCACTTCAGAAATTAAGCCGGTGTTACCAGCAGCCCAACCACTGAGGTGTTCCTATTTCTCAAAAAAAAACTGAGGTGTTCTTGAATCGACTTGTTGCGCTTCTTAACACGTGTGTTTTTCTCGATCTGAAAAGAGTTTTATTCCATTATAATAGGGCTATAGTTGAGAGGCAGAAGATGGTGTGCAACGTAGCCATACATCTATACTACTTTCTACTCGAATATATGACACCAACCAATCTGTCATGATGTTGAGAATTTGTTTCATTGCTTGGGTAGTGAAAAAAAAAGTGTGCGTGCACTGCAAGGTGAGTACAG